AATGTGACATATCAACAAAATGAAATCGTAGCTTTGTGGAGAAAGGTCTTAGCTTCAAAATCATGTTTTGTTTTTTTTGGTGTTACATTCCCATTTCTGGTATACTAAAGGATATACAAGACCAATAAAAAGTTGTGGGACTAGGTGTCCTGCACTATATAATTTTTTTTACTTTAATAATTATAATTATTACTCCATGGAGCAACCTGGAGTAACCCGGAGCAACCCATGGAGTATTAACCCAGTACATTTAACCCGGGTTGGGTTGGGTTAACCTTTGCTCCACTATAATATGAACCCAACCCAACCCATTATGTTCCATTAACAACCCTACCTGTAGTCTTTGTCGTGGATTCGTGCTGGAAAGTCATCATTTGGGACGACCAAGGAGGGTGATTGCGCGGTGTGTTGGTTAGATGGTAAGTGATCAATGGACTGAGAAACCAGCCTAGCTGTGGGCAAAGGCTCTGGAAATGGATCAGACATGTCATGGCATGATTGTTGTCATATCGTTTAAATATTGGGTTGTTTTGTTTCAGCCATCGGCTTGCATTTATCAGGCTCTCATGGTACCTTGATCAAGGAAAGCACCAATCATGCCCGAGTGAGATTCAAAGCATGCTTATTCTTTGATAGTCTGATGAAGCCTTGCAAATGACAATAGTTTGTGTAATGGTTGGATCCAGATGCACGTCCCAGCGAACAGCTCATGTGAATCGGAGATATATGCTTATGGTACACCATTGGAACCGCGTTGATTTTTTCAGGTATTGCTGCTAATACAGGTGGGAAATGACAGTTTTTTATTGTTTTGCACGACGAGCAAATGGCGATCTTGATACGGTCTTGGTTGTTCATACGCAAAGGTAGCTGAAGTTTGGGGAATGCTGTCGTTAGGTCGTAAGTTTCATCAGGGTCATAATCAACCCATTTCGCAGCAGTGCTCATCATTAGGATAGAACAATAGGCGCAAGGAGTAGATGGGTGATCATACTGTATTTTTTTTTCGAATTCGTCTAAAAGTTCTATAAGTTTTTCCGAAGGGCACCATGGCTGCAATGACAAAGTGGACACCAGCTAGTTACTCAGCAGAGCATTCAGCAAGTTCTGATTCACTTCGTTATGATCCACATATGCAGAAAGGAACAAAATGTCACGAGTGTTATTATTATTATTATTATTCACACGACGAGTATCGGGATCAGAAACAATAAAATCTGAAATGGGATAATTATTCATGGGGGGTTTTTTTTTTATTTTGCTAGAGAAATGGATTGACAAATTTTTTTTCAACAAAATTAATCTTTTAGACAAGATGTCCCAAACACATTCTTTTTATACAACTTATCGAGGGCGAGCATCATCATGTTTTATGCAAATCAGGATTGGAGATTAGATTTTTATTTTTATTTTGTTTTCCAAATCAGTAAAACAATAAGATATTGATCAATTGATCACAAAAAAAAAATAATCTATATTAAAAAAAATTTTTTACTTCATTACACAACAGCAAGCCAAAAACATCGATCATTCATCATCGCTGTATGCCTCATTGTTTGATCAATGATCAAGATCAAGGTCTTCCTCTTCATCATTGGAACACGGCAACTCAGGTCCTTTCCCCTTTCTGTTAACTTGATTCATCGCCACTTGTAAGGCTTTGCTCTTGTGATGGGCCTGTTTGGTGGACTCAGCTCTGTGCAAACTTTCTTGTGAGATTCATTGTCATCAACCACCACTACTTGTCTTTTATTATTTTCTATGGTGTTGGTGGTGGCGGCTGATGTTGAGGTCAACGGTGATGTGGATGATGACGCAAAAGACAATGATGACAACAATGCATTGTTGACTTTGCACCTACGTACTTCTCCTCTATGTTCAGAAACTTTTGCCTGCGCATGCTTTTCCAGGTGAAACCTGTTCATTCTTCACTTTTGGAAATATCCAATCGACCTCAGTGCAAATTATTTGTGTGAGGTTCTCGCCTACAAACAATTCTCCTGCAGCGCTAAAGATTGGTGACCTTTTTGAAGCTTCCGTGATTGCATAAAATCTTGGGTTTGAGGGGTCATAAATGCAAGGGATCTCGATGTCTTCACTTGAGGAAGTGAACATATTGTAGATTTTCTTTCCCAGAACAAAAAAATTACACTTGTCATCAGTGGCCACTGCTTCTGCAACACACGGAGCACAAAATGAAGCAAACAATGGGGTAATTGGGAGGTCGTGGACTCCAGGTTCCTCACAAATTGTTTTTAGGTCAAGATCTACCACCTTTAACACAATTACCTGCGAAAATATTTATTGTCAAGTTAGTTTAGGCATAAAGGAACAAAACACTTCCTTCACATATTTATTATTTATATTTAATAAATTAATTGACGATCCGTGAATGAATGAGAGAATTTTTGTGTGATCGGTGAGGCAAAAATGTAAAAAAATCACCAATCAATAATGTTTAACAAACAATAAAGCACAACGTTTCTGTATTACAAACTTATTCTTTTTATGTTATATATAAAGTAAATCTCATAGATTACTGTATTAAAATATTAAAGGGTTTGGAATGTTTCTTGAAAACTTTTGTATGTAGGCCGCTGAGATTTCAAGAAGTCAATAATATATAAAAATTTCGGAATTTTTTAACTTTCAGCCAACATTATCAAGTATTCTGACCAGAGTTATGCTCTTTTTTTTATCGGTTTATTAACAAAAAAACTTTTATTTTATAAGTCAAGTCAATAAAATAACTGCAAAAGAATTTTAAAGAGGTATTTAACAAGCCTGAAAGAATTCTAAGATTGTTTTCTATATTTTTTGTGTGTACATGAGAAATAACTTGTGAAGATGGTGAGATTTAGGGTATTTCTTATTTTATTAATAACAATTAGCAACAAAATTTCATAATAAAATGATCAACATTGCACCCATTCATAAACGGATTGCCAATTAAATCACTTTCTTATTTTCAATCAAGGTCATTTTTTAGTTTCTTTAACTTCAATTTGAGCAGTTAGTTGAGTCTGCTGTTTCTTTAACTGTTCAACTTCACTTTTAAGTCTTTGAATTTTATCTAATAATTCTTGCTTCTGCTTATTATGCCAATCCTTTGAAACTTCTAAAGCTTCTAAATGATGTTTTAAGTCTTTATTCTGCTGTTCTAATCTGCCAACATAACTCTGTGCCATTATTTCTGTTATGGTTGGGGTTTTGACTGGTTCATCTTTCCTCAAATCACAAAAACAGTCTATCCTGTTTCTCATAATTCTACCACAATCATTACAACATGGCAAAGTATCATCATCAAGAGCTTTTTTACACTCAACACAAATATAAGCAATGTCATTGTAATCATTATTGCTTGTATTGTAAGATACTATTTTGTAAGTAGCAGTTAAACTTCTTTCTCTTTCAAAAGGACAGAAATTACAATGCCATTTATCTCCTCTCCTTAGCTCATTAACTTGATATTCTAATTTCATGCTATTTATTCTTTTGCAAGATATAGGTTTCAAATTTTTCTTGAGTTATTGCTTTTACTTGGCTAACCTTGTTCTTTTACTTTGTTAGTTAGGAGTTTGAGTTTTCCTTCATTCTTTGGTAAGGATGGTAATTCTTGGAGTTGCTTGCCAGATAAATATTTCTGCCATGCCACAATATTTTCCAACATTTCTATTTTCCTAGAAGCTCTTTCTAAGTTGTCATCTTTTTCTTTGCTTTGTCTTATTCTCCACTGTTTAGCCACTTCAAGAGCCTCTAAGTGGCAGTCAGATGTTTCCTCCTCTAATTCTAATGCTTCTTCTAATCGTTGAATTTCCTCTGCTTGACTTTCAATTCCTCTTCATAATCTCTCTTTTGTTGATTCAATTGACTATTTAAATTGCTTATTCTAGAATAGCTTCCAGCATAACTACCACCTAATTCATTTGAATAATCAATAAACCCTTCTAACATTTCTTCAATTGTAATGTTATCAAATCAAACTCTTTTACAGTTTTTGGCTCATTCTCTGGTTTCATTAGGATCTACTGCCATTCTTAGTTTACCTTCATCCATTCACTTTTTATTTAGTTTCTTATATCATCATGTTCCCTTAAGAGCATACATACTAACTTCACACTTTTCATCAAGAGACTGACCAGTAACATGTCAGATTTTTAGTTTAAGATTTTCTTCTTTATCTGCTAATTGCTTCTTTAAATTTCCATTCTCTTCTGTCATTTTTTTATTACTTTCTTGGAGTTCACTTATAATGTTTGTCATGACTTTCTTTTTATTACATTTTTTTTTATTTATTCTTTTAATATACTAATATCCTTTTTATGAGGGCATATTAAGTATATAGATTATTTTAGTACTTTTTACTTTAAAAGTGGAAAAAAGCTAACAAAAGATTAAACTTATTAAACTTAATAACAGCAAGAGACAAATTAATGAGTGATAAAGTCATGGAAGTGATTTTATTCTAAATATTTTATTTATTGCCAATATAGAATGGTTTTGGGCAAGTAATATCTTTGAATTCATCTCTAACAAATAGGCGAATATTATTATAAAGGTATTCTTGTCTTTTGTAATCCAAAGGAGGTGGTGTTAACACTAAAATAGATAAAGCTTTAATTTCTTCAAAAATATCTGCTTTCTTGGTTTTCAATAAATTGAATTCAGTAAAAGGTCCATTAGCAACTTCTTGAACTTTCACTGTACCGAGATTAGATGCTTCAAAAAGAAAATGTTGATATTTCTGGATGCTTGGTAATTTCCTAAAATAAATCCCCAAAATAGCTTTAATATCTAAATATTGAAAACCTTTTCCACCTTCATAACACTGAGTTTTATTTAATCCAGCTGGGCTAGACTTTTTTATCACATCAACTACGTGGACCAGACAATCTGTTCTTATTCTTCTATAGAGTTTTTTAATCATGCCAAAATTACCATCACATTTGAATTTGGTATGTCCTGGAATCATGAAATTCAATTCAATACTTTCATAATATCCACAAATTACTAAATACAGGTAAAACCAAATAGTGGTGTTATTTTTATTCTGTCCATTAGCATTATCACAAGTAATCTTTAAATGCTTTTCACCTTTATTTAATTTTTTAATTCCATCAAAAATCATGCTAAGAGTGCCATTAGGACCTTTACTTATGATTTCATCTTCATTAAGAACATAATTGATTTGTTTCCTTACTGCTTCATCTTGAATACCAAATAAATGAACTTTACATGGGCTAAGATAATAGATTTTACTTACTTGTTGATCTAAATGTGGCACATGAACATTTTGGGCTCAATCATAACTGTAATGTGCAGTAGCATCAATGCTGCAATATGGTGTTTTACCCTTTTAATAATTTTGATTAACTAATTTTCTTTGTTCTTCTGCTAATTTGGTGTTTTTATTATAATAATTTCTTTCTAATTTGGTTTTGGACAAATGTTCTTTAAATCTTTTCAGTAAATCTTTAGTTTCTCCCTCTTGGCAAGCATTGTAATGTAAACCATCTCTAAAATGTTGACAAGTATCACACAAATCAGTTCTTGGACTCATGATTTGAATTTCTGGTGTCAATTGATGTCACAATTTTCTGAAAACATCATATTTTAAGGATTTCAATTTGCTATCTTCTTCCAGACCAACCAGAAAATCTCTGTGGACTGATTTGTAACTCATTTCAGCTGGTAAGAATACAATTGATTGAGTTATCCTATTAATACTTCTTCCTGGACTTGGTAATCCATAGACTTCTGCATAATTTTCTAGAAAATTCTTTACTACTTCTGCAATATCTTTATCAATCACCATCTTAGTTTTTCATTGAGGCATTCTTTTTATGTTACCATGAATTCTTGGTAAAAGACCATTGTTTATCAGATAATTTCTAAGATTCTCAAAATAAGTTCTACCAATGCCCAACATATTGAGATAAGTTTCTTGACAAAGGGGTGTATTATGATCCCAGTGATAGAAAGTTCTTTTATTTGATCTAGTTTTCTTCTTAAGACATCTGCTGGAGCTTATAGATACACCATCCATTGCTTTAAGTTGGACCATCAAAAATATGTCTTGTTCAGACTTGGAAAGAGTCTGAAAGGATTCTCTTAATCCTGCAAATTGTTCCTTGGGAATTCTTGAAGAACAACCACAATTACAACCTTTTTCTAAAAAATCAAGTGCTTTTTGATATTCATTAGAACCATCATTATATTTATTATTACTTTTCATATACACTTATCCCTATATATAATTTTATGTTCACTTTGTAGGTTCCTTTGATTATTTTAAAATCAAAGGTTTTAAGATTGTATGGAATAGAATTAAATTGTGAATTTTAACATTAAGTTAAGTTTGGATGGAAAGTCTGTGTTCATTTCATTATGAAAAACCTTGTCAATCTTGACCAAAGAAATACAAATAAGGAAATTGTTTGCATAAAAAACTACAAACCTTTCTTATATATATGTATATTATCTTTAGTTTTACAAATA